CCCTACAAATCATTCTGCCTTCATTTTCCTCTTTTGAAGGCAGCTGTTTTCTTTAGAATCCTGGATGGTTTATTGGAACTGCATATTCTCAATGAGAATGGCTCTCTAATTTCTTTTCCCCCAACAAATTCAGCTCTTGTGCCACAATACTAGTGTTGGTACCTCAGATTTGGTGTTAATATGAACTACTTAGGCTAGTCTCTATGATTCAGACTAGTCCTGGCTATTTCTAGTTTTAACCAACGAAACTTTTATAGTACTTGTCATATGACACTGATTAGAAGGGGAAAAGCATCAGCCAGCTATTGTCTCCTGACTTTGGAGTTACTGAGGGAATCACTTCTTATCATTTGAAGCTAGTCAGGATTGTCCTTGAGGGCTCAAATTATTATCATTATGTTAGGAGACTGCTACCAATCAAGCATTAAGGTAAGGTCTGTACTTTAAAAGACAAGTTGGAGGAACATTTAGCTTGCACATGGCCTACTCTGTAGCTGCTGCTGCCAAGAATGGCTACTCGAAAGATCTGAAAAACCCGTAAGAAGAGAATACTATTTAATTATTGTTAGAAACTAGTACGAGAGTAAATCTTTTTTGGACAGTCATTTGCTAGAAGGTTTAGGGATATAAAAGCACACCTCAACCTTTTTTTGGATGACAGTGGTTCACATCCTCATCCTGAAAGATTGTCTAGGACAGTAAAAATAGAGACATTTGTCTCTGGGGGTGGGGGGAAAGATACTTACTGGTCTATTTAATATAGTTCCTAACTATAGTTAGGAATTAACTATAGTATTAACTATAGTTAATATAGTTAACATACTTATTTAATAGGTAGTTCCTTATCAATTCACATTGTTCCTTGGCTATATGCATGCAACAAAGATTGCTTATCCTAACATGTACATCTACTCTGTTTCTGGGAACAGGTAGTATACTAGTAAAAAAAAAAAACACCACCACCACCAACAAACAAAATAACAGCAAAACAAACAAACAAACAAACACTAGGAAAACTGGTGGCCTGATAACCAGAAAGAACTTAATAAAGTCTAGCCCAGAGTCATACTGTGTGTTTCTAGCACAAGGCAGAAGTACCAAACTCTGAGTTCTTCTCATAGTTAGCAAAGTATCTCTGCATGCTACGTATAGGCATTCTGATAGGGGCTAAACAGAGTTCCTTTGCTGATTCCAGAGATCAGCTTTTGTGAAATGACCAACCTCAATAACTTGTGCTAGGCTAGTACCCTCCTCATAGCTCAAGCACATCCTTGCTGTTAGTCCTAGTGTAGTGTAGCAGTCCTAGAGCTCTGTGTAGACAGTCAGGCATATCATCTTTCTGGCAGAGACTGCACTTCCAAATCAGAATATTTGGGTTGTGCAACTCCAGCCCTTTGGATAAAGAGCAACATCCTGCGGCTGTTATCCCAGTCCCTTTCAGCAAAACTGTATTCAGAAGAGTCAGAAAGGGGAATTGTGGAATGCTGATATCCTCTGTTGTCCCATGTGAGGAGAATATAAATCAAATAGGATAGAGATGGGGAGCATATTGCCTTTGTCAAACAAGCCAGCCCTCTTGTTTAACTTCCAGAGGAAAAAAAACGGGATTTGAAAACTATCTAAATGAAGTTGAATAATAATGAAACTGAGGTCGAAAAAAGACTTATTCTATTGTCAGGAATGAGGAGGGAAGAAGAAATAGTGTTAGCAAGAGTTGCAATGCAGGGTGCACAACTTTGACAGCATGCTTTACATTGGAATG